TGCTTGAAAACCAGGGTAGGTTTTTTTTTTATTTTTTTTTAAGACACTTTTTTTTAAGATGAGAGCAGCTGGAGTTTTTTTTCTTTGCCTGAGGGCAGAGTAGTTAAGTTACAGCAAGGGAATTCACAAGTTTTTTTTTTCTAGCTCTCAGTCTAGGCTAGGCTAAGGGAAGGAAGGTTAGCAAAGATGACGGAAAGTGAGGTCCAGAAGAAACTGGAATTAGCCAGATTGAAAGCTGAAGGAAAACAGAAGGAACATGAAAGACAGATAGACTTAAGGAGCTTGGAGTTGGAGGTGGAAGACAGGAAAGAGGCAAAACGCTTGGAGACGGATTCAAAGCACTTGGAGATGGAAATGGAGGCAAAACGCTTGGAGGCAGAGGTGAAACGCTTGCAGACGGAGTTAGAGCTGAAGCGCTTTGAGCTGGAAAGGGCTAAGCTGGGTCTACCAGATAACCCTAACAGTCCTTCTCCAGATACCACTCCCCATTCCAAGAAATTCCCCACATACAAGGTAGGCGATGATACAGAGGCCTTCTTCGAAAATGTAAAAAGGGCCTGCCTTGGCTACAGCATCTCTACAGACCAGTATATGGTGGAGCTGAGGCCGCAGCTCAGTGGACCCTTAGCAGAGGTGGCAGCTGAAATGCCTGAAGAACACATGAACACCTATGAACTTAAAAAAAAACAAAAACCAGAATTAGAATGGGGATAACACCCAAGCATGCCTGTCAGCGGTTCAGAGCCCTGAGGTGAAAACCAGAGGTGGCATTTTCCCGACATGCCTACCACATTGTAAAAATTTGGGATGCCTGGATATCAGGAGTGTTAAATCTCTGGAAGATCTGTCTCTCCTAACACAAATGGAGCAGTTCTTAGAGGGTGTTCCTGAGCAGATAGAAAGGTACATCCTAGATGGGAAGCCCAAAACAGTAATCGAGGCAGGGGAGTTCTCAACCAAATGGGTGGAGGTGGTGGAAAAGAAAAAAAGCTAGTAGCAGTTGGAGCGGATATCAGAAGGGGCAACCCGAGACAACACCCTATCACCGGGGGCAGCCCAAGGCCCCACCTACATCCCAAGGAAAACCCCAAACACCTTATCGTCCCATCACACCTGTCTCCAGCAACCCACCTCACCCCAGTGACCAGTCAGCTGGATGATGTTTTAAATGTAACAAGCTGGGTGCATGTGAAGGCCATCTGCCCCAAGAGCCCCAACAGATTACAGTTCATTACACCGGCTCATACCAAAAGTCTTCAGGCCCAGATGCCTCCCGGATACCCTCAGAGTGAAGGGAAACTGTGAGTGTGGGCAAGAAGAGGGTTATCGTGTGGAGGGACACTGGAGCACAGGTGTCAGCTATCCACCAATCCTTAGTGGACCCCAAATTCATCAACCCAGAAGCCCAAGTAATGAGTCAACCCTTCAAGTCTTAAGTTTCTGATGTCACGTCTGGCCCATGCTGAAGGACAATGGCTTTGTGGGTAAGGCACGGGACTGGGACTCAGGAGATCTGGGTTCAGCTCCTGCCTCGGCTGTTGACTCTGGGTGCCCCAGGCAGATACTGTAATCTCTCTGCACCTCACTTTCCTCTTAATCAAAGCAAGGGTAATCCTCCTTCCTCTATTTGGTTTGCAAACGCTCGAGGAGAAGAAGTGTCTGTGACTCAGTCTTTGGGAGGGCCTAGCACAATGGGGAGCTGATCTTGGCTGGTGCTTCTAGGCATTGCCGTAATACAAATACCAAAGCTTTTAGTCCAGACATTTCCATACTGTTGGTAGAAACACTGAACAAAACACTCAACAAATGAATGATCAGTTCAAAGGTACCTGCAGAGAGAAGTTCCTGCACCTCTTTATGACTCCTGCAAACTCAGGGCTGCAGATAAAGATGGGCACTTGGAGCAACGGAAAGAGAGGCGCAGACATTAGAGCTTTTACATCAGATCAGATTGGGGGGAAAATCCCCTTATCTTCCCAACCGCGAAGGCTGCCCTCTGACTCCATGCCAGTCCTGTGCTGCCAATAGTCTAGTAAGTGCCTGCTGCAAAACTCTTCTCAACTTCCTCCCCCCCCCCCTTTCTCTCCCTCCATTGACACTCTCCTGTCTCCCTTTTCCTGCTCCTGTTCCTTTGGTCCCTCATGTGACCTGGTCTTCTGAATCCTTTCAGATGATCAGAGTGTTTCACAAGGTGGTGGAAGGAATTTAAGGCATACCCCTAGAAATGCAGGAGAGCTGCTGGCCTTGAGCCTGTGTATCAGCGCTAGAGAGTGCTGTATTTGGGAGGGCGGGAGAAACTAATTCTTACCCCATCCTCCTACCACACCTGCAAGCCAGCTTCATATACCTCTTGATATGTTTCCATCTACCCCACAGACAGACCTGCTGGATACAGACACCTCTTCTAGCTGGGGGAGAACTCATCTTTACATGTGGTTTTGTTCTGTACCCAGGTCCCGACCCTAGTGGAAGGTGGAAGGGATGCAACCAGTTTCTCATCCACTGTAATTCCCAGGTCCTTTTCTGCAGAACTGCTGCTTAGCCAGTTGGTCCCCAGCCTGTAGCAGCGCATGGGATTCTTCCTTCCTAAGTGCAGAACTCTGCACTTGTCTTGTTGAACCTCATCAGATTTATTTTGGCCCAATCCTCCAATTTGTCTAGGTCATTCTGGACCCTCTCCCTACCCTCCAGCATATCTACCTTTCCCCCCAACTTAGTGTCATCTGTGAACTTGCTGAGGGTGCAATTAATCCCATCATCCAGATCATTAATAAAGATGTTGACCAAAACTGGCCCCTGGGGCACTCTGCTTGATACCAGCTGCCAACTAGACATGGAACCATTGATCACTATCCATTGAGCCCGACAATATAGCCAGCTTTCTATCCACCTTATAGTCCATTCATCCAATTCATACTTCTTTAACTTGCTGGCATGAATACTGTGGGAGACCACATCAAAAGCTTTCCTAAGTCAAGCTATATCACATCCACCACTTTCCCCATATCCACAGAGCCAGTTATCTCATCATAGAAGGCAATCAAGTTGCTCAGGCATGACTTGCCGTTGGTGAATCCATGTTGACAGTTCCTGATCACCTTCCTCTCCTCCAATTGCTTCAAAATGGATTCCTTGAGGACCTGCTCCATGATTTTGCTGGGAACTGAAGTGAGGCTGACCGGTCTGTAGTTCCCCAGGCTCTCTTTCTTCCCTTTTTTAAATCTGGGCACTATATTTGCCTTTTTCCAATCATCCGGGACCTCCCCCGATCGCCATGAATTTTCAAAGATAATGGCCAATGGCTCTGCAATCACATCCACCAACTCCCTCAGTACCCTTGGATGCATTAGATCTGGACCCAGGGACTTGTGCATGTCCAGCTTTTCTAAAGAGTCCTTAACCTGTTCTTTCACCACTGAGGGCTGCTCACCTCCTCCCCATATTGTGCTGTCCAGTGCAGCAGTCTGGGGACTGACCTTGTCTGTGAAGACCGAGGCAAACAAAAAAAACATTGAGTACTTCAGCTTTTTCCACATTATCTGTCACTATATTGCCTCCCCCATTCAGTAAGGGTCCCACACTTTCCCTTACCTTCTTCTTCTTGCTAACATGCCTGTATAAACCCTTCTTGTTACCCTTCACATCCCTTGCTAGCTGCAACTCCAATTG